GAAAAAGCGTATGATTAAGATCTTTGGTTGCAACATACAGGATCAACGGAGAAATATTTATCTGTATCCCGCCTTTATTATTTTTGCAAAGCACTCAGTGAACATAGCCAACACAACTTCCTCCTCCTGATTTACCCCACAACAATAACCCTGGGAGGGGAGTTGGGTTGAGAGAGAGAAAGGGACTGGCCCAAAGTCACCCAGCTGGCTTTCGTGGCTAAAGCAGGACTTGAACTCACAGCCTCCCACTTTATGGCCTGATGCCTTCACCGCTAGACCAGTATGTGGCCGAAAGAACTGAAACTCATGTTAGGTTAGGAATTTGAAAGAGAATTTCCGCAAAATGGTGGACTGTTGGGATATTTCAGATCTACATTGGAAATGTGGAAAACACGAAGGGGTCATTTTATCATGCTGGGTGAACTTGTGAAAAGGCCAGAAAAAATTGGGTTCAAATCCACTCAGTGAGATAAAATAATTTTAAAGATTAACATTCAACTGAAATCAGACATTTTTCTTGCTGGTACAATTGGACAAACAACTGGAAAAAAATTAAGGGTGATTGGTTTTGTGTGTGGCAATTGCAGTGAGATTTGTATTTATTTATTTGTAAAAATGTATAAGCCGCCCATTTTCCTGTGCGATAACTTTGAGCAGCTTACAGTATTATATTATTGCAGATTATGAGGTGAATAAAAATAGAAAGGCTCTGAAACACTCACAAGGAAGGAATGGTGGTTGAAGTTGACAAAAGTTGCAGAGAGGGCAAAAATTGACTTATTTGATTAAGAAAAAGCGATTATATATTTATTAGTGAGTGGAAACCCTTTATGAACTTTTTGCTAAAAAACAGAGGGAAATGAACTCGTCATTGATGGGTTTGATGCTTAGAAAAAGTAGAATATGGCTTGAATATGGTTAAAAGAACAGATAACTTTGGATATAAAGGGGCCTTACAATAAGAGGGATAAGAGATATAAGTAATATAGTACTTTTATAATATAAAAACAGGATCGCCAACATGATCGCCAGCGTCCGATAATGGATATGGCACAAGAAGAAGAAAAAGAAAAAATATTGGGATGATGTATGTGAATGAAAAGTTTGAAATTCAAAAGTAAATTAAGTTGAAGAGAATTAGGATTAAGGAATGACTGAAATATAGAGGGGAAATTAAGCTTAAATAAGTACTTTGAAAATAGGATATAGTGATTTAACAAATTAACTTTTACAAATATAAGTGAAATATAAACTGATCAGAAAAGATATTATAGGTAGATGTCATAAGATAGATAAGCAGTATAGTATTTTTATAATACGAAATATGAAAACATTGGGATGGTGTATCCCCTGAGTCCTACGGGAGAAGGGCGGGATATAAATCCAAAAAATAAAATAAATAAATAAATAAATAAATGGAAAATCTGGATATTTAAATGATAAATATTGAGAAAGTTATAACTGATGAGAACTGTTTGAATATTAAAAAGAAATTAAGCTTAAATAAGAATTATGAAAATAAGATATATGATGAACTAATAAGATGATTTTTATAAAAACACGCTGATAAGAAAAAAATGTCATGTATGGACATTATTATTTGTACAAACATGAAAAAAATGTTTATATTTAACCTTTTATGCATTGAAAATATTAACATTATATTTGTTTAAGGTTGAAGAAGGAGAATACTATTGGGAGAAGGGAAGTTGAAAGAAATATACTATTAACTTAAATACTAATTATGGAAGTACAAAAATTAATTATTATTGACTGTTAATTAACTACCATTGTTTTTTTTCCAAAATTTATGAACCAAGACAACACGCTGTACACTAGGCACTAAGAATTGTTATTGTCAATAAAACATTTCTAAAAGAAAAAGAAAAAGTAGAATATGGAAAGAAATAAGCCATGTTGTAAACTTGCAGGGAGAAGTTTACAGTAAAGGCTGTAAACAAGATGAGAAGTTGCTTCTTTCTTTCTTTCTTTCTTTCTTTCTTTCTTTCTTTCTTTCTTTCTTTCTTTCTTTCTTTCTTTCTTTCTTTCTTTTCCCCCCTTTATCTCTTTCTCTCTCTCTCTCCTTCCTTCCTTCCTTTTTTCCCTATTTACTTATCACTTTTGTTTCGCTTTACTTTTCACTAATTTATTTGCAGTCACGCGACTCTTTTTACTTTGCGAAAAATAATTAAAAAATAAAATAGGGGCTGGGAGCAGGAGACAAGGACAGGAAAATGGGCAATAACACCTAGCCACCACTATTAAATTGTTGCTGGGAGAAAGGATGATTAAGAGATAAGAATAGGGGTCTCGTATATATGAAAATTATATATATTATTACATATGTTTTTAATTCATCTTTAGGTCTTACTCTTCAGTACCGTTGTAACTTTGAACAGCCACTAAATGAACGGTTGTAAGTCAAAGACCACCAGTACTCTTTTGTGATAGGAATAAATAGAGATAGCAGAGAAGATACTCTCTCAATAGTCCTTGTTTTTGATTAATTAATATTTTCTGTGTAATTTTTGTTTCTTCAAAGAGCCTAATTTTCTGAGAGTGACTGCAGAGAAGGAAGAAGACATTGGAAGACTGAAAACTGGACATCAATTCCTTGTATTATGTTTTCCAGCATATGTCTGAGAAAGCAGAAATTAGCGGTTGGCATTATCTTACTCATTAGTGTCACTAGTCTGCTATGGGAGAAATTCAAACAGTGAGTACTGTATATGAGTTTGTATTTCTTCAAGCAAACTGGATAGGAAGCCACAAGTTTTTTTTGTAGACATTTTCAGTATAATACAATACAAGTAGTCCTCAACTTAACAACAGTTCTTTAGTGACTGAAAAAAGCGGCATGGCTGTTTTTCACACTTACAACCATTGCAGGAACCCCATGGTCACATGATCAAAATTCCGACACTTGGCAACTGACTCATATTTGTGACGGTTGCAGTGACCTGGGGTCATATGATCCCCTTTTGTGACAAGCAAAGTGAAGGGGGAAGCCAGATTCACTTCACAACCGTGTTACTCACTTAACAATTGCAGCGATTCACCTAACAACCGTTGGCAAAATAGGTCGTTAAATGGAGCAAAACTCATTTAGCAATGGAAATTTTGGGCTCAGTGGTGGTCGTAAATTGAGTACTGCTTGTATTATTAATATAAGGGTTAAAGTTCTGTGATTTGAGGAGTGGCATATATCAGATTCCTCACCTAAGGATAGTTTGAACTAAGACTTTGCTTGTTCTCTGGGACAAATTCTTCCCCATCTGAGGAACAGTCCTTGGTTAAATCATAAAGGCATCTATTTGCAGAGGCACCCTTATTTGGGGATTAAATCCACTCTTAAAACTTCAGGTGCTTTTAAACTATCGGAAAGAAAGTGGTGAGGGGGTGGATTCTTCAGTTCAATTCAATTCAGTTAACCACCATTTCCTCTATCTTTTCTAGTAAACAGGTCCAGTTAGAAAAAAAAATAACATGCCAGAAAGTGAATCAAGTTTTAAAAACAATGGCTTTCTTAGTAAGGTGAGTTTGCGGTTTTCCAGCTCAAATGAGCGATTGCCTAAAGTTATTTGTTTGCATGCTTTATCATTTATTTATTGGACTGATATAGCCACCTATCTCAAACCTGGCTGGGAATTCTGGGAGTTGAAGTTCACCCAAATCTAAAACAACCACTGTTTAAGAGTCTTAATTAAGTCGGAGTAGTCTCCCATTCAAATTAAGTTTCATGCGTAGAAATTATTTCAGATATTTCAAAATTATTTATTGGAGTACAGTTGGTGAAATGTGGAAACTTTTAACTCGTTTGCATGAGTCCTCGGCAACATTAAATATTTGTTCAACCCTTAACTGAACAAATATATAAATGAAATATAGGTTTAGTTGCTTTGTCTGATTCTGGCTCAGTTACAGAGAAATACCATCATGTTTCTTCATTATTATTAGGTGCAGTATTACCTAAACCTTGATGGTTTTTTTTTTTTATTAAACAGATACAACATGGGTTTAATTTCATTTTCTCCCCTATATATTATATAAATTCCTTGAGCAGTGGTAGCTTATGATGCCTTAAAGTCATGGCTGTCATACCACTTATTCTTCATAGAAAATATTTAAAAAATAAAATAAGGAGAATTTGGGGGAAATGTTAAGGCAGAAACCTTTTAGAGTACGAGTGCCCAAACTGCAACCCAAAACCCACTTATGCATTGTCGGGTGCTGAGTGGGTGTGGCCCATTGGGTGGGTGTGGCCCATTGGGTGGGCGTGGCTGCGATGGTAACAGCAGACTGAGCGAGACTAAAAAGTTCAATCAATCAATTCCAACTTTGCAAGATCTTTTTTTTCCCCACAAGAAGTTGAAATTGACTGATTGATTGAACTTTTTTTTTTTGTACACGGCGGCGGAGGCCTAACGCGAAAAGGTTTTATAAAACCCAGCTGAAGGGCCTAGGACTGGGGCGACGGCGCACGTGCCCACAGAGAGGGCTCTGAGTGCCGCCTCTGGACCCGTGCCATAGGTTCGCCACTACTGAGTTAAGGAATGTACACACACACATACACAAACACAAACACAGACCCAGAATAGATAGATAGATAGATAGATAGATAGATAGATAGATAGATAGATAGATAGATAGATAGATAGATAGATAGATATGTATTAGATAGAGAGATTAGATGTAGATTAGATTAGATTAGGTAGAGGTCTATAGGTAGAGGTATAGATTACAGATAGAGATAAGATATAGATAAATAGACAGACAGACAGACAGATGGATACACACCTATATACATATATATTAATAAATATACCTTCACAAGAATTATATCAAGTTTTTATGAATCTGCGTTGGAGCTTAATTTCACTCTGCCTGGTCTGGGAAGGGAGGTACCATTAGAAAGTTCCTGGGAGAAAATGTTTTCTTCTCTCCATTTTAATGATAGTGCTGGAAGTCAGGATCCATTATTTAAGAATGGAAAATTCTCCATGGACGAGGTGCTAAGGTGGCAGCTGATGCTTATTCAGGAGTGCCCTTGGAAACCCAATGCTACAGCCGTTATGCAGCATAGGTAATAATGCTACTGGTTTACCCAAATCACAGTTTGAAAAGGTATTGGCTTGCCTGCCTGTCAGACCTGCCACAAACTTAAACCTCTAAATGGAAAACGATCCTTGGCTCCATTTGCTGAGAACGGTATATTTTTTTAATTAGAGGTCGTGGATTGCAGCAATGCATAGCCAGAACTGAGATTCGCGCGTCAAAATCCCTATGTTATACTTTCCCCTCCTTAACTGTCTTTCGTTTCCCACCCCAGGTTAACCAATTAAAATCTTGCAACCTGGCTTTCCTAACGGTCAGATCGAGCATGCTCTGGTATGCCGCTCTCTCCTCCTTCCAGCTGGGCGACCTTGAAGCAGCTTCTCGAGAAGGCACAGCACCTACTTTCGGTTTCCCAAGCATTCCCCATTTCGTCCCTCTTCTCCATAGTTCATGGCAGTGTCACCGCATATCAGCAAAGCACAAGCAAGCCCAAGGTGGCAGCTGACACTGCCCTTTGATTACTTTAACCATTGGACAGGTTTATTGCATGTAGTACTTGACTTATAACCGTTCACTTATTGACTGTTTGAAGTTACAACCACACTCAAAAAGTGACTTACGACCAGTCTCCGCATCTACAACCGTGACAGCATTCCCACGGCCATGTGATCCAAAGTTGGCAAGTGGTATTTATGATGGTTGCAGTGTCCTGGGGTTATGTGATCACTGTTTGTGATAAGCAAAGTCAATGGGAAAACCTCATGATTCATTAGGCTGCATTAACAGAGGGATAGAATCAAGATCACATGAAGTATTAATACCACTTTACAATACCTTGGTAAGGCCACACTTGGAATACTGCATCCAGTTTTGGTCACCACGATGTAAAAAAGATGTTGAGACTCTAGAAAGAGTACAGAGAAGAGCAACAAAGATGATTAGGGGACTGGAGGCTAAAACATATAAGGAACGGTTGCTGGAATTGGGTATGTCTAGTTTAATGAAGAGAAGGACGAGGCGGGACATGATAGCAGTGTTTCAATATCTTAGGGGCTGCCACAAAGAAGAGGGACAGGCAGGACAAGAAGCAACGGGTGGAAACTTCACGTGATCTTGATTCAATCCCTCTGTTAATGCAACTTAGCAACAGCAATAGCACTTAGACTTATATACTGCTTCACAGTGCTTTATAGCCCTCTCCAAGCGGTTTAAAGAGTCACCATATTGCCCCCAATAATCTGGATCCTCATTTTACCGATCTCGGAAGGATGGAATTTAGGATTGCATTGACTTTTTTGGCTGCTGCTGCACAAGGATCCCTTTCCAAGTTAACCCCCACCGCTGCCTTCTTTTAGAGCAGAGCTGGGACAGTGCTGCAATGCCTCTCATCGGCTGGTGGTAACCAAGGAAAACGCACCGCTGGGATCCACCATCCATTTTGATGGTGTGAAAGTTAAAATTATAACTGTGGATTCCAAGCTGACAAATATGCTATTGGAGGTAAGAGAAGATGCATTGTTTGGGTTTTGGTGGGAGGGGAAACCAATGGGGGCAGGACGTGTTAGCAGAATACAGGTAATCCTTGACTTAACAACGGTTCATTTAGTGACCATTACAATGGCACTAAAAAAAGGGATTTATGGCTGTTTTTCACACTTACAGCCCCATGGTCATATGATCACTGACTATGATCTTTAAAGCGCTCCATGGCATCGGACCTGGCTATCGGACCTGGCTATCTTCGAGACCGCCTCCTGCCACAGATTACCTCCCACCGACCTGTACGCT